GTTGCTAACAGGTATAATATGTACTGAGATTTCCATACTGAAGAGATCAAAAGACAGATGTGATCCCAGACAGAACCAAGAGAACTACTGTAGTAGGAGAAATTACTAGGGAATTAATGAAATTTTAGTTAAAAAAAAAAAAAAATGACAGGTCTACTTTGAAATTTCCAGGAGCCCAGCAAAATGACAGTGTAAAAGCAAGTACCAACCTAAAATAAAAACACTTCTGTGATTATTACTACTAAAAACGGAGAAAAGCATTTTAAATTTGGACCAATCACCAAGTAGACTCTATCAGACTTTCCCCAGGCTTTAAGGATTCTAGATCCATCCTAGCACAACCCTTTTTTTTTGTTTGTTTGTTTTTGGGGTGTTTTTTTTTTTTCTTCCTACAAATGAAACCCTAAGACATGAAAAGACTGCTAGAAGGAAAGATAAGGTAGTGATCTACAAAAAAGCTCAGACCTCATATTATTTAGTGCTGGGAGTGGTAGCACTGAAAAGTGAATGGTACTCAGTAGTTGAACTATGAAGCACAAGGAAGGAATGTGAATGTGACATACTTCTTACTCCTTGAAGGGTATTAGTGACATGGAAAGAGATGCTGTAACCTACAAGATTGCCGTCTCTGAATTCAGGCTGTTCTTGTGTAACTATTAAGAAAACGCAGCAAGAATGCTGATTGGGAATAAGCCTGTGAAAAGGCTAGCTCTGCACCTGTCTCCTATAAATCTATGGGCAGCCCAGGATGGTATCTGAAAGAAACTGTAGATATCATTATCTTTTTTCCCTACAATTTGTCTCTAAACTTGACTTTTTGGGTGAGGTGTGAATCAGACACTACAGCATAATAACTAAAGCCAATATCAGCTTTGGCATTAGTCTGGTCTCTTAACTGCTTGCAGCTAAGTCCAATCCAAGGACAGCAGAGTTACACTGGTTTGCAAAGACATTTTCTGTTCCTGTTCTAGGGCATTAAAACATTTGTGATGTCATTTCTTTATGAAAGAACTACTACAGTAACTGTTTCATTTCACACACTGAGCACAGTACAAAAATACACTGACAAATCTGGATTACTGAGCTCAAAAATTCTTATCAGTAAAAGCTGCAAATCTTATTCTGGGCCTAGCATAATGCATATTAAGTTATTTCCCAGCCTGATAGTCTATTTTGATGAAAGAACAGACTGATAGAGCTACCTGGAAAACTTGTAAGTAAAATGGAAACTATACAATTTTGCACACTACATCTAATTTGCAAAATGACTGCAAAATGTGAACCAAACAAGATGTTGAAGAACATCATGCGGGGATTTTTAATTTAATGTGGTTATTATTCTTATAACCTGAAGTGTTCCAATAAAACTGATTATTACTTTAATACTACTTACCTGCTTTTCTGGAGGCTGGAAAGAAGAGTTACTTGCAGAAAGTTAAGAGACATTATTCATAAAATACTAAAAAATTCCTTCAGCTCTGGCAAAAACCACAGTCTACAGGACAACTGCATTTAAGCGTTCAAAAGAGGACCTTCCAGCTACTTCATAACTTCTACTGTGACTTTCTATTCCAGAACACAGGAACAAGAGCATAAATTGTAACCCTAATTTATGAATTAAACATAGGCACCCAGGTATCCCCCACACTTGACAAAGAACTGCATAAACCAAGAGTAAAATCCTTCCAGATGACCTACTTAGTTCACCTCGAAGGTCTGAAGGAAACAATGTGTGTCTATACACTATTGTATATATTGTATATAGCGCAGATGAAGCACAAATCAAAAATTCACAGCAATTTCAAAGGTATTAACAGACTCACAATCCTGATGTTTCTGGGAATGTAACCACAGTATTATTTAAGTGTGGATGCTTGTATACAGATTTCACTACTAAGTTTCAGACCTGGAGACATTTTCAGCCAGAGTTAAACTATGGCCTGCTGCTTGCAGTGCCTCCCACCAAAGAAAAATAAGAGCACGGCTTCCCACAAAGCGCTGTTCTTTTGCCAGACCTGGTCTATGTCTTTATATATATTTATATCAGTACTTTATACCCCCATTTCATGTTTAAATGGAAACTCTGCCTTATAAAGTAGTTTTATTGCTTTACTCAGATCGTCACGTCTTTACTACAAGGTAGCAAAGGTCAGCATATTTACAGCCAGGGCAGTACAAGCCTCAGAGTGGAAGCAACAACTGCTGTGGGGCTGCAGGAAGGCACTGAGGTAACACCAATAACCTGCTATGAGAGGAAGGGAAAGCGCATGGCCGCTGCTGCGTCAGATGCAAAACCATCAGCTGGTTGATTTGTTACATAAGTAAAACAGATACATTGATTTTATCTCTGTGATGCTGAAAGTCAGACACTGAGTGCCTTCAGGAAGAGCAATGTTTGCCAGGAGAGGTACCCACCTGCTCTGCACCTAGCTAAGGGAGATCCTATGCTTGACACGTGGTTACAATTTATAAAGATTGATACCTGAAAATGCCTAAGATTCATTTAAGACGTATATAGATAATTAGCTATCAAAAAACACTCTTACTGTTACTATTCTGAACATCTTGTCTATAAACTATGGATTAAATATACATATATATGCACAGTGGTAATTAATCTTCCTACAGTTCATCCGTAAGATTTACACTGTGATTGTTTATCACGTTTCTTGTAATGATGCCTTTTGTGAATTCCCTTCATATTTATGAAGGTCTTGTGATCCAATCTCCAACCTATTTAAAAGAAAATGCTTTCTGTGCCATTTCGCACTTGTGGTCGTTTGGAGTTCTATTTCAGCTTCATTAATATTGATGCAACTTGTCTCTCTATTCGTTCTCGGCAGGTTCTTTGAAATTAATCTGTAGCATTTGCCATGATTTGTTTCTGTTTTGCACTACGTCCCAAGTCCAGCTCTCCTCTAGTTAATTTTGTTTTCTTTATTTTTATCCACTTGCTATGACTGTTCTACTACTTGTGCCACTGTGGCGTGTCAGTCCTTTATGGGATCCCCGCTTTGTCTCTGCCTTTCACTGTGATTTACCATCATTACAGGCCTCTTGAATAAAAATGTAGCCCTTGTTTCTGACAAAGTCCATGTTCCTTTTCTTTTCTTCCTGTGTGATTTTCCATCATTACAGTTCTTAAATTTCTTGAATAATGATATATACTATGAACAAATGGATGGAGCAGTAATGGCTTCATCAGTGTTTTCAAAAAAATGTATCTGCAGCTTTTAGAGCATATGGTGCTACAGCAGAGGCTGTGCCATGTTTGTCAAAGCATGATTTTTAAAGTTATTTTGTAGTCTATTGATGACTATGCCATGCTGCATTCATAATTCGCCTTCTTTCCAACATTAGCTGATTCTTAGGATACCAGCTCTGAAATGATCTTGGAGTTGAGCAAATATAAGCTCTGACCATCTTGAATAAAATAGCAAAAACATCATCACTCAGTTGTGTTTGCAGTAATATCACTGTTTCATAGAAACAACGGTATTCTTTCCAGACCTTTTTACACGCATTAAAGACTTCAGAATCCTTGTTTAAATAAGTCAAGGTTCTAATTTGAAGCAGTGCATCATAATGAACAAATAATTCTAATAAATGCTTGAAAAGTCTATCTGCAAAAACACAAGTAATAAATGTCGTATTCTGTACTTTGGTACCAATTAGTCTATTTGAGTAATGACAAATACCCAATGGAAACCAAAATTGTGAAAATATTTAGGAACCTAAAAAAAAAAGTGTTTGTTGATTTGAACAATGGAAATCTTTAATGTGCCATGATGTAAATGGGGGTAAAAACAGAGATCTAAATATGAAAAAGTATTTTTCACCTTGTTTGATACAAGTGGTGTGGTAACCTAGTCCCCAAAGTTCCCAGAGATTGTAAAGGGGGAAAAACATTACATACAAAATGCTAACCAAGTACATCGGTGACATTAGCATTCAATTTTTTTACATCATCTGTAAATGATATCCGTTGGTGCTTCACTTGGCATGACAGACCTAAAGCTCAAAAAACTAAGAGAGATCTGGAGTGGCTTGCAAGAAGAGCAAAGCAGGTTTGGTGACTCCAATCAGGACCAGCCAGGAGTCCAGAAATTGCCAGAAAACTCCACAGTGACAAAGCAGAACTGCAGTGGATGCCAGCAGGCTCCATAGCAGTGTAGGCCAAAACGTGCAGCTAAGAACGCTCATATGCCCCTCTCAGCTTACCTTCCAAACAATTGGCCCTAATTCCTCTTTATTTCAGAGTTTTGCACTGGCAAAACTAGTATTTGAAGAACAGAAAAGAAAAAAGGCTCACAGTCTATATTTAAAAAATGCAGTTAAAAATGTAAGAAAACAAATGCCTAAGAATTTTGCTTCAATGCCCCCTATAGTTTACAACAGAAAGGGGAGCTCACACCTTCATTGCTTATTTCACTGGATAAAACCATGAATACTTCTCACTAAAATCTTAGCTAAAGTTAACCATCTTCACAACAGGTATCTGTGATATTTTCCATTTTGACTAATGCCTTCTGCACTACCCCAGAAGTAGTACAGGATACTTTATAAAGGCATCCAACAATCAAGAGAGATGTCCAGCCACAGAAAGTCCACCCCAATACAATTTCAGTACACTTACCCTCAGCATTTTCCTGTAGGAAACCAGCAATGATATTCTGCATAGTTTTGAGTTGACATTGTGAGACAACACAGGAGACCTCCCTCGGTTCACTTTTGAGCTCATGGGCCATGTGCTCAAGAGAACCAGCAACAGCAGCATCTGCAGATCTATCTGCCTGCAAGGCAGAGAAAGAAATCCTCTTGACTCAGGCCAGAGGTGATCTTCAATCATTTATTCTGTCTTTTTTTTTTTTCCCTTCCATTTTGCACTTGGTATATTGCCAGTATCAGACAAGACTGAAATGCTGTTTGGCTCAGGGTTCATTGAGTTTAAGATTCACACTTCCTTTAAGAGGTGTACTGTCAAGCACAAAATACCTAAGAACAGCATACAGCAACAAAGGAAATGATGGTTAGCAGTGCTAGCATTAATCTCACTGCTGCAATAACATGAGGAGCTAGGTAACCTTCACAGCCCTGAAACTGAAGAACAGGTACACCTCCTGCCAAAACACCAGCTGTGTTAGCCACAAAAATATCCTTAATACAAGGATATAATACAATAAAGAAGCACAGTATCTATTTGTAGAGTTGACTCGCAGCCATCTCCACAACCTGTACCTGCAAAGATGAACGACAGAACAGTCAAGATACAGCATTAGGTTCCCAAACCTGGAAAAGGAATGAGGGAATTAAGAACAGGACCTAACCTCTCACCTACACTTGTCACACTTAGCACTTGCTTAAATGTCTTCCACCCAGCTGAGAAGCATCAAGCCATTTTAGAAGCAGCCCCAGCAAGGGCTTCTGAGGAACAGACAACGTTAAGGACTTTTTAGTACCTTCAGACCCTGAAAAAGAAAGATTTGGGAAGCTTCTCTAGTGTTTCAGAAAGCTGAAAGATGAGTTAGAAGCATTTAATTCCATAGTTACAGGTAATGTTCTGTAAATGAATATAGTTTCTCAGATGTCCTTATCAGATTTCTTTAGAAACAATCCAAAGACCCCAATAGGCTACAAATCAAAACCACTGCCTCAGAGATCTCACGTATAAGAGTGGAGTGAGCAAATGTAATCAATATAGAGATGAATTTACAAAGTAAATACTTTCTGGTCTTTCTCAAAGGTCAATTTCATACCAATATTACCTGGAACACCACCTGAGATGAAATATTATAAGCGGAGATTTCCTATAAAACAATTTCAAAGTTAGAATCATAGAAAAACCTGAGTTGGAAGGGACTCATAAGGATCATTAAAGCACAACTCCTGGCTCCACCCAAAAATCAGACCATATGTCTGAGACCACTGCCCAGACACTTCTTGAACTCTGGCAAGCTCAGTGCCATGACCACTTTCCTGCAGAGCCTGTTCCAGTGCCCAACCCCTCTCTGGTGAAGAAACTTCTTCTGACATCCAACCTGAATTTTCCTTGTCACTACTTTTTATTTTTTCTGCTCCTGATCCAATAACTGTGTATATGCTCAATGTTCAACCACAACACGACTCAAAAATCCATGAGTCATGAACGCAACTTGAAAATAGTAAGAACACGTAGTATTTGGAAGGCATGAGGAAAAGCAAAACTTTTTGATTTTTGCATTCCAAAGGATGCAATAACTCCTCCTTAGAACTTTCAGCCTTAAACACATTTAATAAGACGTCTGGGTACAGCTCTGAAAGGGATGAGGAAGCTGCATAATGCCAAAGCTGCACGCCTACAATGCAAACCAGGGTACGCATAAATCATGCCAGGAGGATTGTAGCCATCCCCTACTATGGGACACACTTCTGAAAGTGTGAGCTACCCTGTGAGCTGCTCAGCAGAGGACTCTGCAAAATATTTGAATGTGGGGAGAATCACAGACAATGATATCTCCAGAGTACAAACATGATCTGTTTTCTTTTGTAATTGTAACAAAACAAGACACCTCCAGGGTGACGAGCATACAAATCACTAAACCTGAACTTGCCCAGACCCAGCTCTGTGAATCACATACCCTAAGAAGGGTTTGACTGGGAAGCCTTGCCAGTTGGATCAATGAGCCATCAGATGAAAAAATGATGTTCCAGTGTCTTTCAGACGAGCCTGCTTGGAGTGCAGAACAAGGAGCTGGAACGAGGCCATCTCAGGCTTTGATCCTCCTTCCTATACCTGATCTGCCCACATGCACAAGTAGAAAGTTCTCTGTGCAACTTAAATACTGCACCTGAAATAAAATGTCCTGATTTCAAAAGCCCTAAGTACTATTTCTTGTGGATATTCACTCAAATAATCTGTGATTAAGAAGCTTGAGACTCAAGCTGAGATTAAAAACAGTAATCTGAAGAATCAAACACAAAGAAGTCACATTTCTGCTCATAAAATGTTCTATGAAATTCTTCATATCATTATCTCTGTGATGGGGTGAATGACCTCTGAAAAGGAGGCTCTGTTACTAGCTCTGAAGTAAGACTCCAGTCAGTAGATAATAGTTCCCTCACATATCAAGACATTTGCTTACAAGGCCTTTCTTTATCATAAACCTTTAGTTCTCACTTCATCTAGCTTCAACTCATCTGAAAGAGACTAAATGGAGACTATTTTAAATTTTGTTACCAACAACTGCAAAATAATCCTCACAATGCAGTAACACCAGCTTAGGAGTACTCACAATTAAACAATTTGCAAATGTGGGCTAGATATGATCAGTGCAGCTAGATAAGTGAGCTCTTTTCTTTGCATTTTTGCTATGTTGGTCTGAAGACAGAATCGCTTTAACATCAACTCTATTTTAGACTGCACAGCACAGCTAAAGGTACGTTTGTATTTTACCCAGTCTGCCTTTTGTTAGATCTCCCATCACTAACAGAACTGCATTTGGTAGGGTTTCCTTAGAATTGGTAGATCGAAGGTGAAAACGCTCACAAAGTCAGGTTTGAGTCCTCTCAGTTGTGCGTATCTCTGCAGCTGTATACTGTTTCCAACCGTTACAAATGAAAATAAACAAATAAACACTTGGGTAAGTAAATAGGAAATTGGTAAGAATAACAGGTACACCTCACCTACTGGACAATAACAGCGTTACAGCAGCATGCTAAGCGACCACTTGCATATTTGCAGCGTGCATGTATTCACAGTAAATAGCTATTTCATTTACATATTGTTTCTATGGTAGAGAAAAAATATTTGGGGAAAAAAAATGCTTTCACCTTTTGCTTTTTCCTTTGGCTTGACTCAAAATAGAAATCAAATGTCTGAGTTTTTCTGTTCTGGTGGTTAAAAGATATCTGCAAATAAGGCCATGTATACAATGCCAGAGCTGGATAGCTTTCTTCCTTTTCATTTAATAAAATAAATACTTGCATGCAAACTTATCTTCTCATCCTAGAGCTAATAGAAAAGGCTAATATATGATTACTATGGGAGTAGATGTGATCCTATCCCAATAGTAATTAGGGTGTAAGGGAGGTGGGATTCTCAAACAAACCCTTAAGTGCAGGCCAGCTCAGTATTTCTTCACATCAGCAAAAGCCCTTTCATTGCAAAGACATCATGCACAGCAGTATTTTACTGCCTACAGACAGAGTAAGCCTTCTTTTGGCCACATAAAACTTCTTTTGTCAGCAAAGTTTCAACGCTGAAGATTGTCAAACTGTAGGCACTTCCCAGTTCTGAGGCCCCATGACCAATGTCCATGTGAGCACTGCTCTCCATGATGTTATATCCAACTAGTTTCCCCAGGTTTTGGTAGTATCACTCCCACAGCTCTGTCCTGGGCCACTGGGCTGATCTCCCAAACTGCTGTGTGTGGGGTACACACATTGGTCACAGGCAGGGCTCTGCATATCCACAACACGCGGACTCTTGCAGAACAAAGCGCTGCTGAAGGAGCATTCTTGTAGCCACAGCGTCACAGGAAAGGCTTTGACACGAGCAGAGACAACAGTTGAACAGATTTCAGCAGGAGAGTTTAACTGACTTAGTATAACTCTCTCTGTGGCTCAGATACTGGTGTGCTTCCATTCCTGCCCTCCTAGCCATGTGGAACACATACTCTTCTGCCACATGTTAGATTTCATACTTCATATTATTTAAATACCACAGCACTGTGTGTTATTAATCAAAATCTAAATATTTTGGAGCTGTTTGTTAAACAGTTTTCTAGCATCAAAACCTTACAAAATCACACTCTGAGACACACAGCTGCCTTGAAGCTCTTCAGGGAGAACTTCAAAGAGTAACCCCTCCACAGAGGTCACCTCACCAGAGTCAGCCCCATAAACACAATGGAACATTTTTTTGTTTTAAAAGTTAGCAAGAACAAAATGCTATGTAATTGTTTTAAATTGTCAGACTATTTAAAAAGTCACGTTAAGATAGTCAAGTTCTATGGCAAGACTTGTCTTATAACTTTCGACATGCGTAAGCTATAAAGCATGTCTATTATTAATTTCAGAAATCGTTTTGGATACCTACACTGCATTAAACTGTCACATTTGAAGTAATTATTAAGCAAGATTATAGGCCCTGCTCTGGAGTTCAAATAGTGCCCATTTTGAAAGTTCCCTGGGTAGTTAAGAGCAACCTACAATGACTTTGTCGCACTGGACCATGGTATGAAAGCTCTTTTTGTTTCAAGTTTGTCTTCTCAACCCCCTTTGCAGCAGGGCGGTGCAAAAGAGATGGTTGCTCTTGGTGCATTTAATACATCTCACTAACATTTTTCACGTGGACACGCAAACAACAGGGGGTGTAACAAAGGTGCATGTAGTACCTCTCTCTCAATTTACAAACTGCAGATGTGTTGTCTTCATGAAACAATGTCAGACTGAACAACCCGACTGCAGCAAAAGAAATCCAACAGGCAGCGGTGGGGATGGACATCATTCACATCACCATCATATTGCAGGAGCCTGCAGCAGCGCTTCAGCCTTTTTGTACATAGGATCCAGGAGAGTTCCCTCAGCCCGTCACAGATCTGCTGCTGAACCAAAAAGAGACCCTTGAGCAGACATGCCGAAGCTGGACCTGCTGCTCTCTTACAAGAGAAATACATCAGCGTGGGTATGCTTTTAAACACTTCAGAATGTGGAGGAAATTAATTCAGTTACAGAAATATTTTCAGCTACATATTAGAAGAAAAAAAAAATCTTAAACTACACAGGAAGAAATCACCATCCTCTCTGAGTTTTCACAATAGAGCTCCAGGATCTGTGATGTTGTATTAAGGACTGCTGCTTCAGGTGACCTGGAATGAGAGGTACCTTCACAAACCACGCAGAAGATGTGCCCTCAAAGCAGGAGTGTAACTGAAGTCTTATTACCAGATAACCAAGTACCGACATCATTTACACTTGTTCAAACCTAGATACCCTCTCCAGAATTTAATTTAAACCATTCCTGTGAATGCAGATTTCTGGGAGTATGGAAATCAATACATGATTTAGCAATACCTTTCACTTTTACAGATTTAAAAACGTGCTTTTTGTCTAGTGCAAAGAAACCATGGTCACACGTGCACACACGTGGATGTGCACCCCTGCACACCTCTCTGAGAAAAGCAGGATGCTGGTATCAGATGGCCAGTACAACACAATAGACAGTTCAGCACAGAAATAACACAGGGTACATTTTTCTAATTCTCTCATGGATTTTAGTAAATACATTAAAGCATTAAAGTAATTCACAGAATCTTTTCTAATTCTATGATGACAGCCTGAAAAACAAAACAGTTTCCAAGAAAACATAGGTCTGATTGATTACTAAAGGACCCTGACAAAAATGATTAATTTTGATACTCAATCTACTGTATATTTAGTATTGATGAAAATGAAGGACATACAATTCATAAACTAAAAAAGATGCCTATTTTGATTTCTAGAGATCTTGTCAAGAAATGTATAATCAAAGAATATTAGGATGTTATAATCACAAAATAAACAAGAGAGTTAGGCAAAGTAGACCATGATAACAAAAAAGAATAAATAGAAGGCTTACCCCTATCCTGGACTCACCCACAAAACAGCAGCAGAGCAGATCTCCAAAAGAGATCCTTCCCTACTGCTAGTTAGCTCTTAAATAGGTCTAGGCAGATAGACCTTCCGGCAGCACAGCTGAATTGCCTTCACCTGTGCTCCTCTGGCTGACTCATGGCTCGCCTCAGGTGATCAATCAGAGGTTCAGGCCACGACTCAGCAGTTTCCATACATAAGTTACATGCTTTGAAAGTAGAAGAAATGTAACAAGAAAAGACTGTGGTCACACAGCATTTGAAGAGCTGGTACCTCAGTTTCCCTCTCTGGAGACATAGAAAGTATTACACCCATTATACAGAGGGACAGCTCAATCTGATGAACTGATGGGCGATTAAAATGTTTCCAGAAAGAAGATGATGTTAGTAGACAAATTATTAAATATAATATTCTGAACACATTTGTTACTGTCATATGTGAGGATGGCCTGGAAAAGTGCTTAGTTCTTAGTCACGCAAATTACTTGAATCCAAAATAAAACTGTCAGCACTCTGGGGCAGCATCAGTGTTTAAAGAAACCCCTTTCCTCTTGTTTTTTTCCAACTGTTTTACAATGACTTTTCTTTGGCTGTGCCAAACTATTCTCATCTACAACATTTTACCTGCAGAATTTAGCAAAATCGATACTACAGAATGGGGAAAAAAATACTGGCCTTCTAAGGAATTTGTATCTCTTGCCTCCTTTCCTCCTCCACCTCCTTTTTTTTTGCTAGGTATATGTGTGTTCCTAACAAGCCAAAATGTTGTTATTTGGCACACTGTCACTATTTTAAAGCAGAATCTTTACAATTTGGCCCGATTCAGTTTTATTTGTATGGAAGAAATTCTCCCAAAAGGTACCAAATGCCTTGTCTCATGGCAAATGATTGTCTCTGAATCCCATCCTCACTGATATTTGCTCTTTGAGGATGGGAAAAAAAAACACAACATGTTTTATAAAGCTCAAATTGGCCTTACTAAACAAAACATCTGCTGGACTGGTGAGTGACTTGTGACAGCAGGAGACATCAGCACTGGCCTCACCAATAGAAGTCACTGCAGTTAATGGAGTTATTATGGAAGAATTCTGGCAAGAATATATATTTTTTTTTTTCAAACAGAAAAAAAAAATTAAAAGAAGAATATGTTATGTTGTTATGGCAACAGCTATTTGAAAAATACTGTAACAAAAGGCAATTGAGTATCGAACTACCAAGCTGCTAGTTTGACTATTTGGTTTTCCTCTCAAGCAGCTAATTTGTAGAGATCCCCCTCCCTCTTCCTTTTACGGCCACAAGTGTGCGTGCACAGGTAAGAGTCCATCTGTAAACAGTTTGTGTCCGCAGCATTTCAGTCCTGGAGCTGCACAACTGCAGGTTTGCCACATTTCTATATTGGACTGGAAGAACATCCAGCATTCAATGGGCTGAGTGCCTCACTAACATAGCAATAAAACCACATTTTGTAGCATTTCCAGCCTGTGTTTTTGGCACACAGCAGTATTCTGGGACTCCTGCTACTTTGCAGGACCCTGCTGGTCTCCCTGCAGGTGCTGCATCTCCTCGTTGTATGTATGGTATCACTTCCATGCCCTCTGGAAACCAGCGCCTCAGCTGCTGGCAAAATTGGGACGCAAAACACTCAGGGGCCTTGCTAAATTTCCTCCACGCTGCATAATAAAGTTATACACCATAAGTACCACACAGGTATTGTGAACATCATGTTTCTTAACACAGAGGTGAGAACTCGCTTTTCACTTCACTGCTTTCAGCCATTCTGAACTGCTCAACATCCCGCCTTTGCACTGACTCCCATTCTAATGAGATTAGGCAAGACGTTTTATCTGACAGGATTACAAACCAGGGGGCAGGACAATAAAGATGTTGGCTTCCAGCTGTTCTGCTGTAACTGAGAATTTTGGAGATGCATCACTTTTTAAATAGACAACTGTTTGTTAGCATCAACACTGAAAAACAATCACGTTCATGTGCAATAAAAGCCCTGAGAAATATTAAAATTAGCAAAAAACCCACAGCTTATTTTGTGTCTGCTTCCTGCAACCATTCAAACTCAGAAATAATGCACTATACAACTCCTACTGACACTCATACATCTCTACGGGACTGAGTTTGGAAACGGAACGCATTTTCAAACTCACCCATACATCCCTTGAGTATTTCAGACATTCCAGTCAAAGTGATTCTTTAATGTGGGACCTACTTACCACATTTGTTTTACATTAGAAGACGCTGTATAGGTTGTTTACATTTGGAAAAGTCAGTGGAGAGAAATTTCTGTAAGTGTTCTGAGAGAAAGATTGCACCGTTACTGTAGCAAGGACAATTATGGACAGACACAAGTAATGGCTGTTTCGAAAATGTTAGGAGCATTAGTGTGGATAATAGACATCCTTTTCTTATCATTGCCCTTACCAGAGTTTCATTTCCATTGGTGCTGGCTGCCTAGATTGCTTAAGACAGCTGTAGTCTACTCATTTATGTTACGGTAACAAAAAGTTGACTGCCAGGCTGTCCCAGACAGAGTTCATCTGTACAGAGGTCTGAAACTGTGAGGGAATACCTAAATGTCAGACATGTCCAATCACTGGTGCTGCAGCAAATTATCGCCTCTTCCAGGTCAGAAAGGCCAAAATAATTTCCAGCTCTATTTTTCTAAAAGCCATTTTCATTTAATCTGTTCTTTACAAATGGTAAATTTAATGAGAACTTCAGGAATAACTCAAACTAAAATTAAGAAAACCCTTGATATATATGTATTCAATCCAAATGTATTTCAGTAAGCAACAACCTGGCCACTATTGAAATACTTCTCAAGGACTATTGAAATAATAGGCATGTTCGCAAAGAAACCTGCTTTCCTTTAAAGTGACTGTATGCATTATTTCAGCTTCTTCTGATAATAGTGCATTTAATGATGAGGCCAAGATGCAATCAATCTTCTTTGTTGGAAGAAAGTGTTGTATGGTACCTGCAGGCTTGTGTTCACCTGGCGGCTCCAATCTGTGCAGCGCCCCAGGTCTGGCCTCACCATTCTGCTCCTGCCAGCACAGGAGGTGGGAGTGGGGCAGGGGGACTCTGGAGCTCTGGCTCTGAAGAGACGCTGAGCTGTGCTGGACTGAATGGCTGATGTCCTCCACAGTTATGCACACACTGTATCCTTCACAATTGGCTTAAGTGACTTAGGACTGCATTTGTGTTGCCCTCTCTCTTGATTAAAAGCAGCACCTTCTTTGCCTTGACAAGAAGTGTGGAGATCTGTAAAAGTTCACTTGATCACTGTAAGAAGACCAATAACTGAAGGACAACACAACCCAGATGGATAGATAGCGCCTGAAGCAGCACGTGAGGAAATATAAGCTGCTTTTCCACAATAAATGCATAGGGTAAGGCTTGCAGAAAGCACTCTGAGAAAGCAGATATACTTGAAGGAGAGGAAGGCCAGAGCCTCTCCTGAGAAGGCTGGCACAGCGGGCCTCCTGGACCAAGAGCCAAAAACAACACACTGGAGAAGGAAAAAGGCTTAAAAGCACAACAACTAACGGGACACGAATTTCTGCAAGTGGCCTCCACATCTCTCACTCTTCTTCCACAACTTCTCTACAAGAGATGTAAGGCAGGCAGGACACACCATTGGCTCTGTGTTCTGCTGCTGATGGTGCAGGCTCTAGAAGAAAGACAAGAATAGGGTCCTACATGACAGACTCAGCAGAAACACCCCCTCTCTTATTACAGCATATTTTATAGAGAAGCGGGAGGAGGGTTTGCATTTCATCTTGTCTGGTATACACGGTAGATGCTGCAGTTGCTAATCCGTTTTTATCAAGAAAAGCAGCAGCTCATGACTAGATTAGCCAGTGAATAGTGTCAGCGCTGTAAGAACAACTTGGAAATCAGACAGTGAAGCAGCTGTACCTTGTGCTGTGCAACAAAAGGGTCATAGCCCTCGACAGGATTGGACACCCTTTCCTTGTTTCTTTTCTTTGTCCTGATATTGATGTGGTGTGTCTACCTCCTGGCAGCAAGTAACATGGTAAAACAGTGATTTCTGATGAGCGTGTTTCAATTTCTGAAGTCCAGAACATAGAAAACAGATTGTTACTGAAGCACCAATGGTATCTGGGATCTTAAATGAATAATGTTCACTTGTGAGATTGCTCAGAAGAGATTTCCACCTGAAGAAAGCCTGTCAGAGTCCTTTTGTCCTGATCAGCAGCACTGCAGTTGTGCAAGTGCCACCTGAGTGCAGCTGTGTGGCTGACTCAGTGAGCCCGTATGGCACATTCCCTCAGGAGCCTGAGTTCACAGGCAGGGACTTTCCCAGCCCTTGGGGCTACGGAGAACAGTCATGTTGCAGCACAAAGAAGCAGAGCAAAAAAGTTTAGCGAGAAGTAAGGAAAAGGGGAGAAACAGTTCAGCCCTGCACTAACGGCAAGGCATAGTCCCATTGTTTCTGATGGAAGCTGAACACCCCAGCACCCCTCATTCCAAGAGGCCTTCCCCAGGTGTGACTCGCTGCCTCCTGGCAGTTGGCACAGACAGCCCCAAGGCCCACAAGCGCTCCAGTGATGCCATTTGGGTTCAGGGTCTCTGAGCACTGAGGAGGCCAAACCGCTCGCTTCGCTCCTCACCTGGTCTAGCCTGAACCCTGCCTAGCCCTGAGCTTTGTCAAACAAATGGGTAATGTGCTGCTTTCCTCCCTGCGCCACAGACCAGTGTTTACTTAGACAGCAGCAGGAACGCCCTTACTGCCTTCATTCCCTCGGGTATAAGATCAATTCGTCTCTCAGGAAAACAGCCCGCCCCCCCCCCCCGTGCCGGAACCCTCGAGCTGCAGCCCCCAGCTGAGAACACGCTGTGGACACCTTGCAGGCCGGAGATGCTGAGGTTGTGTCTGTGCGCACAAGTTTTCTAAACAAATCGCTTTTGTTGCTCAAAGCAGTGATGAATGGACACGCAGGGCCAGGTTGATCGCCAGAGCAGTACAATGGATGCAAAACGGTTTTTTTCTTTGCCATATAAATCACTCACATTGTTTAAGGTACATTGATCAATTTAATGGCTTGTAATAGGCTCCTAATTGCCACTAGGAAAGTACCGCAAGCTCGCATCTTGAACGTGAAATGGTTCGTGAGCAGCGCTGGATTCACCTAAAGTTGCAGCGCAGTAATTGCTGCCGGGAGGGAGCACAATGAGCGGCGTCCTCGGCCGCATCCCAGGGCAGGGGCGGGAGAGCGGGGAGCAGCGCAGGGGGACCCGTCCCCAGCAGCCATTCATTAGAGGGCGAAGCCAGCGCCGGGATTTATTGGTCATCGCGGACCGAGGAGAACTTTGCAGCGTCAATCATCCTGTCTATTACGTGCCCACATATCTCTATCTGCAGATAGACAGCTTGCTTAATCACCATCAACGCTCTGAGTCACGCCTTGCTAAAAACGCCGCGGAAGAAAGCCGGGACGCCGTGAGGAGCGGGAGGGCGGCGGGGACGCGGCAGGGGCCGCACCGCGGGGTGGCCCGAGGGGCGCGTTCCCGAGGCGCGCTCCCGGCGTGCAGGGCTCGCCCAGCAGCGGCCGCAGAGCCCTCGGAGCCGCTGCGGCCGGCGCGGGGGAAAAGGTGGTTCTGCGCTCCGGGAGCTGTTTGGAAACGCGTTCATTCAAAGGACGCTCCGCGAGCGCTGGCGCCGGCTGCATTTCAAACCTGCCGCAGCTGGAGCCCGTCGCGTCTAACAGACTTATCGCAATGGCACCGCGAAGCGTGAGGAGCTGGAGAGAGAATCCGCGCCGCGCACCCCGTGCGGCGCTCCTCAGACTTCCCCACCAAGGCGGAAAACAAACCCGTGATGCCGCTGAATAATCTCCCAATAATTGTAGTAATTAAAATCATCCCACAGTCTGCAGTCACCTTCCCTCCCCTGACACAGCTTTCCCTTCAGTTGTCACCGCGTCTCGGCGGAGACGAACGGAGCGGGAGAGGAACGGGAGAGGCTTCGCACGCACGGCCCAAACGCGCCGAGCAGAGCGGCACGGGGCGGGCGGGCGTGGCCCCGGCAGCGCTCGGAGCGCGGGAGCACGCGGGGCTGCGGGCGGCGGTGCGAGGCAGGGAGGTGCGGGAGGAGCGGGCCCGGCCCCGAGCGGCGGTGCGGGAGGCAGAGCGGTGCGGAAGGCCCGTCCTGGACTGAGCGCTGCATAACGAACAGCGCTGACAGCTCTGACAGGGATCGTGGCGGTGCTTTAATTTTCATTTAATTTCCGTGATCTATTCGATCCCGGTGCCCTTTCCCTTTTCGTTAGCTAGGAAAGATTTCTTTCTATCTAAAGCCGCTCTTCATCTTTACCCACAAATGAAAAACTCAACGGCGGAAAGAATGCGGTGGGCTCAACAGGCGCCGGGTCTGTATTTCAGCACCATTCCTACATCCCTCTATCCCCGCTCTGGCACATCGTGGGGCAGCCTCTTCCGAGCCCAAGTTATTCATTTGAGGCCGGATCCCCCCGCGCGTGGCTCTGACAATGAGCGGCAAGGAACGCGGAGTGTCACTGAGGTAGAGGGAGAGAGGGTGGGGGAGAGGTGCTTAAAAAAAAAAAAGAAAGAAAGAAAGAAAAAAAAAAAAAGGCAGGACTCAATTATGTGCCTGAGCTATGAGCACTTCGCCTTCCCCCTGCCCACGTCCCGCCGCCCGGCACAGGTTACGCCGCTCCCTTCCACTTGGGAGGGCTCAGCCCTCGCCCGGCCGCAGCACCCCCGTGCGAAGCCGCGGTCCCCTCCCAGGCACCCATACGGCCGCACCGCGCCCAGCTGCAGGGAAATCGATCTCTTTCGAACTATTTGGCAACCCTTTCCCGGCGCTGCGTTTTGAGCCGCCGCATCTGACGCTCTCCGATGTGAGCCCGCAGCCTTCCAATCAGCGCTAATGAACGAATTGTTCCCGGCCTCAGCCCGGCGCCCGGAATCCGCGCGGGGAGGCGAGGCAGCGGGCAGAGCCGGGCCGGGGAGGGCACGGCCGTGTTCGGTGGGAGCTGCTCTATCAGCGTGCACGGCCAGGGCTTTGCTTTTTGCTTTGGTCGTCGCTTTCTTCTTCTTCTTCTTCTTCTTTCTTTCTTTCTTTTTTTTTTTTTTTTTTTTTTTTTTTTTTTTTTAACGTTTATGTTGGTTTAAACATAATGTATTTATGATGTAAATATATTCCGAAATGAAAACGTCACGGATCAATTGTGAAGGACCCGGATACATAATTTTAAAAAATCAGTTTCAGTTTATATGAGGTTCTCACCCCACTTTCGCTTCTTAGTCAGATTTGTTTATGCAGAATCGACATTTAATAGTGCTAATTGCACTCCAGTTAAATTGCCCTGATTGCAGAAAGGGAAGCAATTTTCGTGCTCTCCGTCTGGGTTTGGAAGAAATTGTTTTATATTCACCTCTTTATAAAGAAGTGGAGATAAGGCACGGAGCCTTCGCGCAAATTGCACTTAGGGGCTGACTGGCAGCATTCAGGCGCTATAATAGAGCATTATTTGGCCGTTTTGAATAATGTAAAGCGTTTGCTGAAAGCCATTCTCCTGAAAATTGCTTTAACTTTTAAAAGGGTGATGATTCACTCTGAACCGGGCCTTTGTTACGTTGTCATTATCCCCCCAAATGTTTTAACAGTCGGCTCGACACTCGAGCATAACACGCCGATCTTTGTTTAAAAACTCCATTTTTGGAGCACGGCACAAAACCCGTCGGAGCTCACTTGACCCCCGAAAGCTTTTAGCGGCGCTCCCCGTTCCCAGTCCCTCCATCCCGGCCGGGCGTGGACGCGCCCGCGGATGCCTTCAGTGCGGGCCCTGCTCCTCGGGCGGGCACCTGTTGGCCGCCCCCGGGGCCGCCCCCCCCGCCCGCGCCCCGCCGCGGCCCCGGACTTAGCCCCGCCGCGGCCGAGGCCGCGCTCGGCGCGGAGAACGGCCTCGGGCGACGGGAGCAAACCGTTCCGGGGAGCCCTCGGTGCGGCGTGCGGTGCGGCCGCGGGGCTCGGCGAGGCACGGAAAGGAAACGATCAAAACCAAGTAGAGAAAAGCGAAACGTCTCGATCGCCCGCGTTCTCCAACTCGCCCCCCGAGCACCTGCTCCGGGGCTTGGCGCTAGGGCAGAATCGAGAAGGAGACGATTAGGGACCATCACACGGGGACGCGGCCCGCAGGACGTCCCACCACTCCGCCGTAACGCACGGCGCCAGGGCTGCCGGCTACCCGCGGCGGCCGAGCTCCGCGGGGCTCACAGCGGAGCCGCCCGCTGGAGCGCCGTGGGAAAGCGGCGCCCGTCCGGGGTTCACGGGGCTGACATAACGGAGGGGCCTCCGTCGCACCTCTCGCACGGAAAGGAACGAACGCGCCGCGCCTGCGGCCGCCTCTCACGCTCGCCAAAGCGAAGAAACTGAGGCGACCCCGCGCAACGTCACCGAGCGCCGTCCCGCCGCCCGCACCGACGCGGGGCCCCGTCGCGCGAAGCCATGCGGCCGCGCTCCGCCGGCTCCGTGCCCGGCCCCGCAAGCGCCGCCGCCGGCCGCGTCCGGGGAAGGGCAGCGCGGCGCTAATTGCGGAGCGGCCCGCGGCCCGGCGCGCAGCGCTCTCCGCGCGCTCTGACTGGCACGCGCCCCGCACCCCGGCGCCGGCACCTCCGCGCGCCTGATTGGCTGCGGGGCCGCTCCGGCCCGCTCCGCCCGCGCCCTCATTGGGCGAGCGCGGCAGCCAGCGGTACTTCAAAGCGGGCGCGCCCCGCACTTAGGCAGAGTTTAGCCCCGCCGAGTCGGAGTGTCCTTGGCGCTGCCGGGGCGGCGCGGGCGTGCACCGAACCCCGTCCCCTCCCGTTCCGCCGCAGCCCGCCCAGGGACGTGCTATGGCTACGTCGATCCTCGGGGTAAGTCGGGGCCGCGCGTTTTCTCGCGGCCGCTGCCTCCGGAAACCTCTCCTGCGCCGCGGCCGCCGTCGTGCGGGGCTGCCAGAGCGGGGCTGCTGCCGGGTCCCCGTCGGGTCCCCGTCGGGTCCCCGTCGGGTCCCCGTCGGGACGCTGCGGCCGAAGGCGCGCGGGGCCGGACGGAAGCCGTGGTGCTTTCTCGCTTTACTTCTATGAATCGTAACGTCGCCGACCGAGCCGAGACGCGTTTCGCTCTGTTTCGGACCGTTTTTTGTCCCGCTCGACTCAGCGCCGGTCCCGCGCCCCTGCCTCGCGCCGCGCTACCCGCTCCTTCCTGCCGCGACGTTTCCGCCCGACGCCGGGCGCTACCCCGCCGTGCCGTCCCATCCCGCCGCGGGGACTCCCGGCGGGCGCCCGACGTGCGCCGGCTCGGCCGGGCCGCGGCCTCCGGGAGCGCGGCGGTAAGCGAGGCGGGGCGGGCGCCTCTCCACGCTCCCGGTCGGCGGCCGGACGTGGGGGCGAGGCTGACGGCGGCTTTGTGTCTGTCCTAGGAGGAGCCGCGGTTCGGAACGACCCCCCTGGCCATGCTGGCCGCCACCTGCAACAAGATCGGCAACACCAGCCCGCTGACCACGCTGCCCGAGTCCAGCGCCTTCGCCAAGGGGGGCTTCCACCCCTGGAAACGCTCGGCGTCCAGCTGCAACCTGGGCTCCGGCCTGTCGGGCTTCGCGGTGGCCACGAGCAGGGGCTCCGGCGGACTGGGCGGCGGCACAGGCGCGGCCAACAGCGCCTTTTGCCTGGCCTCCACCTCGCCCACATCATCGGCCTTCAGCAGCGACTACGGCGGGCTCTTCTCCAACTCGGCGGCGGCGGCGGGCGTGTCCCCGCAGGAGCCGGCCGGGCAGTCGGCCTTCATCTCCAAGGTGCACGGCGCGGCGGCCGACGGGCTGTACCCGCGGGTGGGCATGGCGCATCCCTACGAATCCTGGTACAAGTCGGGCTTCCACTCCACGCTCTCGGCCGGCGAGGTGGCCAACGGCACGGCCTCGCCGTGGTGGGACGTGCACGCCAACCCGGGCTCGTGGCTGGAGGTGCAGAACCCGGCGGGGGGGCTGCAGGGCTCGCTGCACTCGGGCGCCCCCCAGGCCTCGCTGCACTCCCAGCTGGGCACCTACAACCCCGACTTCAGCTCGCTCACCCACTCCGCCTTCAGCTCCACCGGCCTGGGTTCCACGGCCGCCTCGCACCTGCTCTCCACCGGCCAGCACCTGCTCGCTCAGGAGGGCTTCAAGCCCGTGCTGCCCTCCTACACGGACTCCAGCGCGGCGGTGGCGGCGGCCAGCGCCATGATCTCGGGGGCGGCCGCGGCGGCGGCGGGGGGTGGCTCGGCGCGCTCTGCCCGCCGCTATTCGGGCCGCGCCACCTGCGACTGCCCCAACTGCCAGGAGGCCGAGCGGCTGGGGCCGGCGGGGGCCAGCCTGCGGCGCAAGGGGCTGCACAGCTGCCACATCCCGGGCTGCGGCAAGGTGTACGGCAAGACCTCGCACCTGAAGGCGCACCTGCGCTGGCACACGGGCGAGCGGCCCTTCGTCTGCAACTGGCTCTTCTGCGGGAAGCGCTTCACCCGCTCCGACGAGCTGCAGCGGCACCTGCGGACTCACACGGGCGAGAAGCGCTTCGCCTGCCCCGTCTGCAACAAGCGCTTCATGCGCAGCGACCACCTGAGCAAACACATCAAAACGCACAACGGGGGCGGCGGGGGCAAAAAGGGCAGCGACAGCGACACGGACGCCAGCAACCTGGAGACGCCGCGCTCCGAGTCCCCCGACCTCCTCCTGCACGACGGGGCGGCCGCCGCCCGCGGCCCGGGCAAGGAACCCCCGGGCGGCCCTGGCGACTCCTAGGGATCGCCGCCCGCAGCGCGGCCCGGCCCGGCAGGAACGGCGGCCACCCGACCCCCCGCCCCGAGGGACGCTTCTGCGATTTTTCGTTTTTCTTCTTTTCTTTCTTTTTTGTTTTGTTTTCTTTCGTTTTTTCTTCCCCCCGTTTCCTTTTTCCTCTTCTTTCTGTTGAAAGGAAAGCATCCTGAGAGGCTGAAGGTGAGAAACTAAGGCGGCAGGGCGAGACGGTTGCTCTGTATCTCATAACCATCTGTATAAATAGGGGTCGGAGACGAAACAAAACCCAACCCGAGTGTGGTCGCTTATTTTTCCTGTAAATGTGGATCTGTCAGGGGGGTCGGGGGTTTCCTTTTTATTTTATCGGTGAATTCCTGAAATTCAGGGAGGTTTTGGGGCTTCGGTTACTTTTTTGTTTTGTTTTTTTAATAATTATTTTATTTTAAATTTCTGATGCACTTTGTGGAAGTCAGTATATATGTAAAAGATATTTAAAACGTTGAGTTAACATTTCACTCAAACACACGTAAGTTAAGGTCGCTTAAAGAAATTAAATGCGTTTATCTGTATGGAAAAAAAAAAAAAAAATCTCGACATATTTTCATTTTGGTATTATTAAAGGACTCGCAACCATCCGCTCGCGGCTCTGTCCTTATTGGTGGCCGGGGCGGCCCCGGGCTCGCTCAGGGCTGCGGGGCTGGGAGGGCGGCCGGGGCCCGGCTGCGGGCTGCTGGGGAGAGCCGCCGTGCGGAGCGGGAGAGCGGAGAGCCGGGCCGCTGCTCGGGCCGTTAGTGCGGGGGGATCTCGGGGGAATAAAGCGCTCGAGTCAATACTCCGGAAAAGGCATTTCATGCCTAAATGAAAATCTTGTTAAATGTTATTAATTTTGACTTAGAGCGCGCAGCAGCCCCCTGTGCCTTGTATTCCCTTATTAGGGATTCATGTCTTATCAAATATCTAATTAATCTCCCAGACATCATTTGTTCTGGCCAACTTTATCTCCGCCGGTCCGCGGGGAAAAGCCGGGATACGCTCGGTGACAAAGCTCCCTTGAAGCTCCTTTTAATTGTCCAAATTAACTGCGCCGAATTTGCATGTCAAACGGTAAAGGGCAACCTGAGATAAAATGTAAACGTTTTAAAAGCCCCAAACCGAGCACTCGATTTGATAACGAGGCTTTTTAATGTCCGGGAAGACAACTGCTCCTTTCCTTTTCAAAGCCGGTCGATCTATGCAAATAGCGAATTGGAAATGCTTATGTCCCCATGCAGTCAAATGGTCCTTGCGCGGTATTTGAATATCAGTGGCTCTGCTATTGAAAAGGTTCAAGGATGCTCTCTGACTTCTTTGTGATTACTCAGTGCAGCGTCTTATGCCGAAGAAAAAAAACTCGGGAATAATTAAAGGCCTGGCTAAGGCCTGGGAACACATTTGGGACAGGAATCTCATTTAGGCAGCCTCTTTCAAAATAAGGCACAGTTAAATTGACCAGAAGGCAATTATTGAAATGAAAATTATTTTCACTCCCTTTGTCTCCTGACCACCAACCTAACAGCCACGGTATTATTATTATTATTTTTTTTGAAGGCAAATTGTTAAATGAGATAATTGTATTATAAAAAAAAAAAAAAAAAAAAAAAAAAAAAAAAAAAAGAAGAAAAAACTATAAAGAGACAAAAAAAGAAAAAAAAAAAAAAAGTTAATTTAGCCCGCCCGCTACAGATCGGAAGGACACCAATATTTTAATCCGCCATAAAATAGGGAGCGCTAACAACACGGGCAAACGGGTTCTGCTGTCGGCCACCTAGACGTCGCCCCAAAGAGAAACTGCGGCGCTGCCGGCCGAGCCCCGCTCCTACGGACCGAGCGGTGCGGGAGGGCTGCGGCGGAGGACGGGCTGCGGGTCGGGGCGGCCGGAGTGGCAGGGAATGCGGCGGGTGCGGGGCGGGAGGCGGTTTTGTTTTCCATTTATAATAAAACACATCAAAGGGAGCCCATCCGGGTCCGGTTTCTGCCGGGCCGGGGTTACAATTCTCAGCTCAGTGATCAAGGACCTCTTCGCATTGCCTTTGCCCCTTCGGGTCAGTAAACGTCCATCACGGACGGGCTGCCCCGAAACGAAAGAAGGGAGCAGCTCCGGGCCGCAGCGCCGGTTCGTTTAACGGAGAAAATAGACAGCATGTCACCTTTTTAAAAATAAACGACGCCATTCTTTCGTACTTGTCGGCGATAATTATATGGTCTGGGGAACTTTCACACACACAAAAAAACCGAAACAAAACCAACTAAAGGTACGAGGACAGCAGAATAAATCTCGTTTCTCTCTTCCAGCCGCGGCGTCGGAGCACCCCGCGCCCGGAGGGAGGCGGCTCCGCGCAGCCCACCGCTGCGGGGCTGGTCGGTTTAAGGTTTGGTGGAGGAAAGCAGCGAACGCAACGACCCCGATCGCCGTAACTGCGCCTTTTGCCGTTCGAAAGGAAACTTTCTCCGCGCTTCGCTCGCAGCCATTTCCCCCGCCCCCTCCGAGTGTTTATTTGAAGCTCGAATCACTTAGCGACAAATTCCCTCAAGGGATAACGTTCTTAACGCATCGGAAAGAAGGGAGAAGAAATAATAATAATAATAACAACAACAACAGAGGGGGGTGAAAACTCCCGGCTTCGCCTTCCCGACGGCGGCCGCCAGCACCGGTGCGGCGGCTCTCGGGCGCCACCTAGCGGTGAAATTTGCGGGCGGCGGGGCGAGGTCGGGGGGCCGCCTTGGGCGGCGCGGCTTCGCCCGGGGCCCGCCGGCGGGGGACCCCGCCGGCGGGCACCGGGCGAAACCGCACCGCCCTCCCGCCTCGGCTTCGTTGTCTCAGCCGGCGTACGAGCGTTGCCGGCGAGATGGGCTAATTGCTACGTGGCTCGCGGGGTGCGGAGTCCCTGTCCGCTCGGGGAAGAGACAAAAGTAGAACATTTGAAACTGCCTTTCCGAGCCGAAAGCTGCCTTACCTGAACGTCATAATTACAGTAATTATGTACACCCAAATTACATGCTAATTCAATTAGAATCAAATCGTTCTAAATCGGAATCAAATGAGGTAGCGGGAATTAATCAATGACAACATAAATAGAGAGCTTCCTTCGGGGGGGAAGTCGAGGTGGCCCCGTCACCTCTGACCGCGTCCCGTGTATTTTTTTAATCACAACAATAATAAAAAGATGCTCTTACCGTCATCCGTGAAGCGACAGCACCTCCTACAGGGCTCCGTCGAGCGGCCGCGCCGCGAACCCGGCGCCCTGCGCGCTGCCCTCGCTGCGAGGGGTTCCGCCGGGGTTTTGCTCCGGGCCTGCACACAGGCTGCAGTTCTCCAGCCGCCCCGCTGCCCGCCCTACCACACCTGGCGCGGGGAGCCCGGCTACGTGCCTTCCCAAGGGCGGCGGGACTGCTGCGGGCCGCCCGGACCTTCAGCAGGGGGAGCCTCCCTGAGTACGAGCGGCTTGCTGAGAGCTCTTCAGCGGGTGGTCTCTGAGAGACGCGTCCAACATGGCACTCTCCCTGTTGCAGCTTTCATTCGCGGCGGCCTCACGTTGAGCCCGCGCCACTTCCCGGCATTCCTAGGGAAGGAGGCCAGGTGTGCTCAGCACGCACCTCGGCGGGCACACATGGCAGGGCCCAGCAAAGTGCCCACAGCTGCAGGCATCAGCTGCCCCTCCCAGGTGGGCACAGGAACCCTGCCACACGCAGAGCCCTGCCCCTGCTTTGGGAATGCACACCCATTGCTTGTTTGTTATCCCTTGAATTTTCCTGCTGTGTGTAACGTGAAGTTTGCCACAAAAACAGACCTTTCCCCATATCACACTGCCCATCCCAGAGGGACAGACAGCACGTTCTTCACAAGACAACGTTTGGATGCTTTGTATGGGCATTCTGAGCAGCCTCCTGTTCCTGCTCACTCAGAGCTCTCACGCACACATCACCACAGGGCTTGACTCTGCTGGATTGCGCACATCTTTAAGCCTGGCCACTTCATTAAGAACACTCGGAGCAACCTCACCCAAAAGCATTTAGAAGAAGGTGACATCGCTTAATGGCTCACCTTTTCAAACTCATTCACACGTGCTTAAAAGAGAAGCCAGGTCACTTCCACCATATATTATACTCTGAGTGATACTGAAAAACGGCATGACAGTTTTAAGAAGAAGTGGACTGGTAATAAAGCGCTGTTTGCCCTGGCAGTGAGGGGGGAAGAAAGCTGCCCATCGGCTCAGCAGCACCTTCACCTGTCCACTGATGTATCTCCACCTGCCGCCCTGAAACAGAAAGCAAAACATTGCCTTGTGCATTTGTACCGACTCAGAATACTGGAGAAGTAGGCAGTTCTCACTGCTTTTAAATAATAAGGTATTTTATTATTGACTTTCATAACAGCACGTGAAGAACAACGGTCACCAAGAGAAAGAAGTCTGTTCCACAAAAACGAAAGGATGGATATTTACATTAACTTCCTACTACAAACGATGAAACACCCAGAGCAGTTGAGGCACTAAATGCTCTTTTCATGTCTTGGGAGCTTATTGAACAATAACTTGACATTGTATTGACACACACCAACAGGGGTTCAAGATGTTTAGATAGCCCTGACCAAGCTGTACACTGCAGGAGGTCAAAAAATGTTGGCTACACACTTATGTGAACTATGTCTCTCTGTTGTTTTAACTCATGAAATTGATCTCTTACAGGGAACTTTAGCAAAAATGGTGCAGTATAACACAACAACAACAAAAAGCCCTCTACAACATAATGTTTTGATGTTGGAAGCAGGGATTTTACCCACAGCTATCTCAAACATTTGTTACCATTTAACATACCCCAGGATTCTTCCCCATTACTTCCTGCTTCCCCTCACAGTTGCATCAAAACAAAAATCACCACCGACAGAAATCAAGGATTTCAAACACTGCTCTGAAATACTTTAAAACTCAGGTCTAGGGATTACTGCATGCACACATAAGATATTTGCC